TCCGCTCTCCAGGCCCCCCGCTCCCCTGTGGGGCAGCCCAGAGGCAGTGGTGACAGCAGCAGAGACTCAGGGCAACCCTGCGCAGACTCCTGGTGGCTGCAGTAGGGAACTGCTGGCAGCGGAAGGGGGAGAAGCTGCTTTTCCCCCCACTCTGAGCAATAGTTTTTGTCTCATGCTGCCACTGCTGAGCCTGGGTAGGCGAGCCTGGATCAAGCACAGGGTGCATGGGGTCAGGGTTGTGCAGCGCGGTACCAAAGGGCTGGGGCCCTGCAGCAGCTGAAAGGAGCCACCTGGACTGCCTAGAAAGGCAATCCAGCTGCAGAGCTGCCCCAGCCCTGCTGCATGCCCAAGGGGCAGCAGGACTCGCCATGGCTGGACTATGTCTGGGCCAGGTAGAACAGAGGACCTGCTGCGGGCCGGACAAACACCTGCCGCGGGCATATATATATATGAACATACAAAACGCACATTATATATAGAAACAGATTGATCAATCGATCGATCTATCTATCTAGAGAGAGAAAGAATGGCCTTTTGCTGGGCTTAGTTGCAAAGGCCCAGTCCCTCTACAAGAATGGCTTGCTGGACTGCAGTGAGCCAATGGAAAAACCCTAGGCCCAGCTTATTCCTAAAGGAATGTCAAAACATGTAAAGGTCTCTCTAGTCTAGTGCTTTCCCTCAGACCCCAGGAAGCCAGGGTCTTTCAAATCCTGAGTCCTTGACTCTTGGGTTCTTTAGATAGAACTAGGATCTTTATCTTCAGAGATTTTAGGGAAGTAGTTTTTGATGGGTGCGGGGTAAGTGAGGAAAGCTGATCTCACTGAGCACTTGCATGTAGAGGAAGGTCTGTACCTGTTTGGTGTGTAAAATAGTGCTTAGGAGGAGCAAACATCAACACAATGTGGAGCTTGCCATGTAACACATGATGGACTGGCCCTGTCTAAGGGCTTTGCATCCCTCATGAAAAATTGCAAAGGAATTACCAGTAAAGGCTGTTGTATGCCTCTTCCTCCTCATTTTTCAGTGGATACTACAGTTTCTAGCTCCTAGAACATCAGTCATTAGGAGAATCCTGGATGAGACTCACTGTAGTGTTGGATCATGGTGACTGAGGCTAAGGCCACAGCCCCTCCAAAGAGACTCGTTTGCTAGATCCCTCAGATGGCAACAATAGATTTAGCTGGTTTTACCTACCAGATTTGTTCACAAACATTAGCATGGGAACAATGCACCTGCATCAGATGCACCAGCATCTGGAAGTGCTACTACACAGAGTTGCATCTTGCAGAGGATGTTTGTGCTTTACTGTATGGTGCAGAACAGATGATCCTTATGCCAAGAGTTTATCTCTCTTCGTACAGACTACACCATGGTTCAGGCTTAGCAGATGACTAGGGGTGGAAAGTCAAATCTCTGCACTGAGTGAACATTGCTCCTAGTTGGGGTTTTTGATGGATCTTTTCAAAAGGCTTCACAAAAGAGACAGTTTTGTACCTTTTATCTTGTATTTTATTTGTAATCTGACAGAACTGATAATGTGGGAGCCACCCCCCAGTTCATAGGAAGACCTCAGCCTCATCCCAAATAGTTTACAGTCTTTCCAAAGTAAGTGGTCTGCAAGCTGAAGCCTCCAGATGGACCTGTAAGTTGCCAGGAACTGTCAGCGGGATAAGTAAGGCCTGCTGTCTGTACTGGGATTTACAGTGGCATCTTCACCTGTGAGCACATCTCTTCTGTTGCCACTTAAGAGAGTAAAATGTGTGCCTGCTCTCAGGGATTGGATGTGGGACACCACCAGAAGTAGCCTGCATCCTTAGGGCACTGCTAAAATGTACATGATTTAAAATATTCACCAAATGCAAATTGGATCTGAAATTGTGTCAAAGAATTTGCATGTAGCAGAAGTCCCAAGTTGCTCCAAAGTGTGCATCTTGAAACGCTCTGATTTCCATTTCCCATGACTCTTGGCACTGGAGGAATTGGGCAGATTATAAAAACATTTAGATGGAGAAGGGTTATAGTCCTATGTGTTATGCTGTGACAGGGTTTCACTGTCAAAGCACTGGAACAATTTGGATTTTTTTCAGTTGTTTTAATAGGGTTTTTCCCTCTTCATTTATATAGGTTCAAACATAGTAAAGTGGCTTTGCACAAGCTGACAAAGTCGCAGCTTTTAGTCTGTGAATAAAGAGGACAGGAGGCTTCTCAGAATAACAAGGATTTCCAGAATATTGTAAGTGTTAAGGACTACCTTCTCAGGAGCATCTGTTGATGGAGCCTACATCCCAGTGAAAATCAATAAGGCCCTTTGGAAAAATGTTTTCCCGTTAGGTTTTAGAAGAAATAGCAGCCCTTGTTCTGTTGTTTGTAATCCAGTAGCTCCCAGTAACTACCCTGCCACTACTTACCCCACTGCTGCTACCACGCCCAGATCTGGCCTGGGAGGGGTGAGTTTGATGTTCCTGGACTACACCATCAGGTTTCAAGGAATGAGCCAGTCTCTTACCAAGAATTAGGAAGAAGTTTTCCTAGGAAGCAAGTCAGGTCACAAGTACTCTGTGGGCAGGATCCCTCTGTAAAGTTGTTGGTGCGGCCCGGCCCAGGATGCTATTGTCTTTGTTCTAATAATCCTCCAGCAGCATCAGCATAATCATATAAGTGATTAATGCCAGGAGTCTAAATAGCAGGATATACCCCTTTGTTTTCCATGCCACCTAAGGCTGCCTGGACTACATCTACTCCACGCAAAACCTGGAGAAAAGATGGCTTTTCCTCTTCCCCAGAAGCTGCATGTTGTGTAGTTGGTTTAATTTCAGTTCCAAAGTAATTAGGCATGCACAACAATAAGCTAATTCAGTAATGATGAACGAACATATTATTTAAAAAACAGAATGCTGCAAACTCCGCTTAATTAACCACATTCTTAACTGTGTCTGGTTCGTTAGCACACACCAATTCAGAAACAACTAGCTTGTTCTTGGAGAGTCACAGATACAAGAGCTGTTTTGTAGTCTGACAAAAATATATAACAGCCAAGTAAATTTAGACTGGATATCTGGAAAAACTTCTCCACTGTGAGAATAGGGAGGCAGTGGAATAGCCTAGGGAAGTTGTGGACTCTCTATCACTGAAGGTGTTCAAGAGGAGGTTGGATAGCGACTGGTCAGGGAAGATCTAGGTGTAGCTATTAGAGGTGCATTAATATATCGGTCCATATTGTATAGGTACTGATAAAAAGGAAAATTGACGTTATTGGCAATCGGCATTTTTGACTGATGTGGCCAATAATGTCACCAATAAATGCTGCATGTCGCTGTGCGCATCCCCAGGGGAGGCATGAGGGGCACGTGCCCCCTGGATCTGCATGTGGAGCGAAGGTGGGTTGCTTGCTGTGGGCTGGGACCAGGGGCAGCACTGCGCTCTTCCCGGTGTGGGGATTGGGCCGGGGCTGCGCTTGGGGCCGGTGGTGGCAGTGCTGGGAGGGGGTGCTACAGGGTAGGCTATGGCCACCCGAAAATTTGCCCTAGCCCCCTCCAAGCTCTCCCCTCCCAGCACCACCGCCTGCCCCGAGCATGGCCTCAGCCCAGCTCCCCATTGGAAGAGCCTAGTGCCATCCCCAGCCCACAGCAGCAGCCTGCCCTTGCCCTGTGTACAGATCTGGGTGGTATGTGCCCCCCACAACTGCTGCCAGGGGTGTGAGCAGCAGTAGGAACCACCCCCAGCACCCCCCACTTGGGGCTCTATCCCCACCCCAGCTGGGCAGCCCCTGTTCCAGCCCTAGCCCCGCTCCTCCTTCACTGCAGGGACCTCAATCTGCAACCATCATGCCCCTTCCCCCCAACAGACTTACCAGCCAAACGCTGCTCTCCAAGCTGCTAGGCTTGCATATGGGCAGTCAGATTGGTATCGGCTGATATGGTTCATTAATAATTGGTCATTGGTATCAGCCCAAAAATTTTTTATTGGTGCACCCCTAGTAGCTATGCCTATTTTCTACCACAGGTATTTCCCATGCTTCTGAGCTCTGCTGGTTGTTCCTTCCACCCCCTTTTTTTGCTATATGTGTTAAGGTGTTTTTACGCCTTCCCAGAGGCATTGGGTATTTGAAACAGCCGAGGCTGGAGACTTCAACTGGGGTGTGCCAATGCTGAAGGTCCCTGGCTAGAGGATCTTATGCCTCCATTCAGGGTCAGATTGATCACTATATTGGGGTCAGGAAGGAGTTTTACCCCATGGCCAGATTGGTATGGACTGTGGGGGTTTTTGCCTTCCTCTGTAGCAGGGGGCATGGTCCTCTACCCAAGACCTCTTGAGCATATATTAATAACATTTTATAGAAGCAGGACATTGGCTGCCATGGATCTCCTGCTTTACTTGTGGCAGGTTAGGATGTTAGGTTTATGTTGGGTCAGGGTTGATAATAGTCTTATGTAGAGTTTAGACTATGGTTGTATGGGATGGTTTGGATAGGAATGGTCCTGCTTCAGAAGGGGAGGTTGGACTAGATGACCTCTGGAGGTCCCTTCCAGCCCTGGTTCTCTCTGACTCCAGGACAGTGAAATTTCCTAGCTGCTCACAAGAGATCTTGTATCATGTGACACTTGGGCACCCACATTATTTTTTCTTAACCTTTTATTCTAGACTGTACTCAGCAATGTTTCCAAGTGGCAGGCCAAAACAACAGCTTGGGTCTGAGGTGGGCTCAAATTTCTGACCCAGCAGCTGCCACCTCCACTCCTCCCTACTATGGTGTGGATGAAGCCTCCCACTGCTAAAACCCCTCAGCTCTGCAAGCTGGATCCAATGACTACAAGCCATAGATTGCTGACCTCTGTTTTAGACTATTGTGGTTTTTACCTGTATTAAGAGCCCAGTTCAGCCAGGCACTTAAGGTGTTGACTAACTCTTGTAAACTTGAGCAGATTGGGCCTAAGCAAAATCTTGCAAAAAACACATGGTACATGCATACATACCTATGTGCAAAAGCAACATCACATTTGTGTTTCTATGGCTATTCCTCAGTCACTAGAATAAGATTCTCACCAGCATGAAGGAGAGGAGGATCTGGTCTGTTGTTGAAAGCAAATATGTTAATTATGCTTATTAGGGTGGAGAGCAAAAAGACTCGGTATGGTTTTTAAGAGGTTTTCTCTGGAGAAGTGGGTAAATCTCTGTTGTAACTGGGCCCGAGCAAGTGATTAAGCACCCCATTGTAGCTGATCTTCTTGTTTCTCTCTCTTCTGCACAACCAGCTTTGAAACCCAGAGGAATGGCCTGGTGTTCATCTATGATATGGCTGGGTCCCAGTACACCAACTTTGAACTGGACCTCAGCAAGAAAATCCTCAACCTGCTGAAGGTAAAGGAAAGCTTACCCCTGGTTTGGGGGGAGGGAGAAGGAAGGGACCATCAAGGGATGAGGTCTCCTTGCTGTACCTTTCTAAGAGTATGTAACTTATAGGAGGAGAAAGGTAGAGCAGGGGTTGGGGCTGGCGGGACTTTGGTTCAGTTTCTGGTATGAACATCCTATGTGAACTCGGGCCCTTGGTCCACCCCAGGCCTCAGCTCCCATTCTGTGAAATGAGGTGAATAGCACTTACTTCGTGGTGATGTTGTAAGAATAAGTCCATTTTCATGGCTGAGAGGTGCTCGAAAATCAAGATCATGAGGGCATAACTTGTTTATAGACAGAGACTTCATGGCAGAAGGATCTGTGTGAACAAGTGTCCTTGGAGAGTTTAGAATTTATGATCATCTCCACAGAGTGGGAATCACAGCCTTTGTCAACCCTGTAAGTGAGGGGGTGGATGTTGTTCCATCTCTGCAACTCCTTCCATACAAATATCTCAACTGTCTTGTTACCAAAGCTCCACAGACTGAGAGGCACTGCTGTGGAATGCTAAACAATTGGGACACAAGGTGGCAAGTCACAGTATTTGATATTTCTTTTTGACAGGTGCTCTGTGCAGCCTTGGGCAATTAATTCATTAATGTTCCCCATCTCTAAATTGGGGATAATCATTCCTAATCATCTACTCCCAGGGGAACTTGTGATGATCAGTTAAGTAGTGACTATAAATAAGGTCTTGAACATAAAAGATTTTATCCATCCCCCATCAGTCAGTAAAGATCTTACCATTAAATGCAATGGCTGTTAGATCAGGTCTATAAAGTACTACTTACATGTGAAGTGTGTAGGTTTTATAATGGGCCTGCTTCCCCACTGGTCAATTATCATAAAACAAATCCAAGTTGTTTTTGTTCTATACTGACAGTTCTTGATTGCCCCCTACCAATAAGGTGAGAGTGAGAACTGGATATTAGACATGGAAGATATCTTAGATTGAGCCCTTTCCTGCAAACCTGCTAACAGTTAAGACAGAGCTATTAAGTTTCTGCATGTGCATAAGAAACAAGTGGTTGAGCTTTTAAAGAGAGAGAAAACATCCCAAACTGTGTCTGTGTGATGTACCTGTGTGTTTATACTGTAGTCATCACCAGGGCATCTAGATTGTGCTCCTTTAACTTCCTAAAGAACATGGAGTGGAAAGGAGAACTTCTTCCCTCCAGCCAGATTGCTAGAACTGCATTGCTATGGCCTAATCAGCCCCGATCTGATTTTCAGGCCTGAACCGCAGGCTCCCCCTGCTGGTCGTGAAGGCAAGGAATTGAAGAAGCTTGGGTTTTCCCAGCTTGTCTTGTTCTGTAGACCAGCTGTTCCCAAACTGACAGATTGTGCACCACCAATTTAAAACAAGACAACCTTAAGTACCACCAGCAAACTTTTCAGTTAAGCCTTAAGTACCGCCAGCAAATTTTTGTCATATAAAGTAATTATAAAGTAATCTGTTAATGCATATCACTGACAGGTTGTTTGTGTACCACTGGTGGTACCCATACCACAGATTGGGAACCACTGCTGTAGACACCACTGATAAATGGTGCTGTGGCTTTAAAACTCCTTTGTATACTGTCTGCAGGGAGCCTTCCCAGCTCGCCTCAAAAAGGTGTTCATCGTGGGAGCTCCTATGTGGTTCCGAGTCCCATACTCCATCATCAGCCTCCTGCTG